GCACAGGTTTGAAAGGGGCGAGGGGGGGATGGCTCATGTGGCCGCACAATGCTCAACCGACGAGCCCGGGGCCGCATGCTCAGCAGGCTACACACCCAAGAGGCTGACGATGATCCCCCCCCCACTCCCGGGCCCACCCCATCCCGGCTCACCTGGAGCCTCTCGTTCTCAAACACCTCCTCCATCACGGCCTGGCCGCCCGCTTGGCGCGAGGTGGGGCCCAGTAGGTCTCTGGCCCGGCCCCTGGGGCTCATCAGCCGCTCCGCTAGCACATCCTGCATGGAAGGAGAAGCAAGGGAGGAATGAGTTTATCGGGCAGGGAGTCTGAAGTCAGTTTGGCATGGCATGCCGTGTCGCAGCTCAGAGAAGGTAGCCCTTTCCCTAGCTCCGGCCGACACAGGGTCCCCGAAGGAAATGACGCAGCCACATCGCAAGGTTGGGCACATGCCCTGGTGCCCCGTGACCCACCGTCTCGCTCTCCCCCCGCTCCAGGCCTGCACCAGGGTTTTAGGGTTCAAGCCAAGGTTGGGATCGGACATGGTCTGATTGCAGGAGGGATTCCCTCTGCAGTGCCTCAAAAGCGTGGGTCAGCTCGACAGGTCTACTTCTAGCTGGCTGGGGAGCGGGTCACGGGCTACCTCCCACGGCTGAGGGGTGCAAGCGAGTACCACTTGCCCACCTTCTAGGATGGCTTGAGGGGCAGGATTTGTCCCAGGTGTCCCTGGGACGGAGCCAGGGCCCGTCGATGTCACCGACTTGGCGGGACTGGCGTCTGGGGTCGGGACGGCCTTGTCTGGCGTCGAGTTGGCAAAGGGGGCAGGTGGCAGGGCGGCAGGACTGGAAGCCTGCACCGTCAGAGGGAAGAGTGGGGCACTGGCTTGGCAGTGATAGCATGGTCATAGGTGAGCAGGCAGGTTGAGGTGGGTCATGGCCCAGTACAGCAGCTGGAAGGTTGAGCTTGCCAGCAGCAACCATGGGTAGTTCACTGTTTGCCTGGACTTGGCCGGGGCATGGATTGGGACTGCAAACCAGCTGGCACTAGGAATCTATTACCACCACAGCAAGGCAACCCAGGACCAAGCTTGCATTCCTCCATCAGTACAGAGACCCAGCCGCCCCATCACCTCAACCCACCCAAGGGAAAGATAGGAGGGAGGAGAAGGATCGCGAGTTTGACTGCGCCTGGATCTGCAATTCATCCCACGCAGGCGATGGGTGAGGAGGGCGACAACATCTCGACATTTGGCATCGTCTCTCAAACGTACAGGCGATGATCAGATATCACGAGCACACCAATGGAGCAACGGATGCGGAGCGCCACTTCCGCCACAGGCCATCGTGCACATCCCCGGCCCCGAACGCTCACCCCACCACTGATCCAGCCACGTACGGGCCCAGCTCACCTGGCCCTGCGCTATGGCTATGGCCTCCGCATACCCCTCGTACTTGACGCCCTCGCTCTGGCCCTCGGCCTCCACGGGCGCCGGCGCTGGCGTGCCGCCTGGCGCCGGCTGTGACGTGGCAAGTCGGCGATTGGGCGTGAGATTGAATGGAGGACGCCTGCCTGCCCCGTGCCCGAGCATGGTGTTCGGTGTCCAGGCCAGCTGACGGGGTCTGCCCCTCCTCGAGACCTCCACAGGACCCGGCCCCTCACCTCCTGCGGCGCCGGCGGCGCCGCGTCGGCCGCGGCCGGCGCAGCAGCGCCCAGCGGGGGCGGCGCGGGGATGACCCCGGCCAGGGCCCCCAGCATCGCCCGCACCGCCAGCAGGATGCCGGCGGCCGCCAGGACATGGCCGCTGGACTCGGGGACGGGGATGACCTGCCATAGATTTGTTGCAAGGGGAGACAGGGCCACGGTGTGCGAGACATGAAGGAAGGGCACTGAGGGATCAGAAATCCTGGCAGGTTTGACCCTGGGCTGGCAGCGCAGTCAGGACCGCCACGCAGGCGCCCACCCCGGGCTCGCCAAAATCGATGCAGGGCACGGCCCCCCCCCATCCCCAGCTCCCGTCAGGGAAGGCCTCCCACGGCGTCCATTCCCCGGCGCCGTCTCCAACCTTGAAGGCGACGTGCGCCAAACCGGAGACCGTGTCCTGCGGGTCGCGGCTGGCGCGGTGCAGGAAGGCCAGCACCTGGACGACAAACTGGAGCAGGGACAGCGCGCACAGCGTGCACAGCGCGCCCTGCAGAACGGGCGACCCCAGCGTGGCCAGGCCCGGCAGGCCTTGCGCTGCCTGCGCCCATGGGGCAGTGGCCTCCACGAGCTCCGAGCCAAACTGCGGGAAGTCCACGAAAGGGTGGGGGGAAGAGAAGGGTGGGGGTGTAAGAGTGGGCAAGCCAGTGCCAAGGTGAGGCCAGGCACTCCCACAAAGCCTGTCCTGAACACCCACCATGGATGCTGCCACCACCCTCGACCCCCGCTCACCAGGGTGACAAGCAGGCCGGGCGCGGGCAGGGCCCCTGCTGCGGGCTCGGGGACGGGGGCGGCGCCGGGGACGGAGGGGCCCAGCCCCTCCCCTGGTGCGGCGTCGGTCACCGTCGCAAAGCCCTGCAGCGTCTTCCGGAAGGCCGCGTAGTTCTTCACCATGCCGTCGCGTGCGCCTGGGTTGGGTGGGAGGGAGAGGATGGGTGAGAGGGGCCGGTGCAAAGGTGGAGCGTGCGAAGACAGCAGGCCCCAAGGCCATCGATGTAGAGCGCCAAAGACCAGCCTGGGGCTCTGTCTGTGACAGGATCCATACATCAGGCCCCCATCCATTTCAAGATTACGCACTCCCGCGATGCCACCACAGCACAGGCCTCACCCCGCTCAATCATGCCCTTGATGAAGCCATTGACCTTGCCCACGAATACGACGGTGGCGGAGATGGTGAGGACGCTGGCGCCCGGCCCCGCAGCGGCCAACGTGTGTCGCAGCACGGGCCGGAACTTGTCGCCGTAGGTGGCGGTGGTGCTGACGCAGACCTCCAAACGGTAGGCCGCCCCCGGCCGCGCCTCCTCCAGCTGCTGCAACTCCACTGTCTTGAAGGCGGAGCCCATGGAGGTGCCCAGGAAGCGGACCCTGCGCACCCAGCCAGGCCGCAGCGCGCCCAGCGCAGGCGGCGTGTTGGTGTCCGCGCTGGTCGACAGCTGGTTGGTGCTGGTGCGCCAGTCGCTGGCGACCACCTCCCGGTTGCCCACCGCCGCGTGCAGCTGGGTCTGCGGAGCGTGGGGCAGGAGGAGGGGGGTGAGGTGGTGGTGGGACCTGGTCAGCTGGCGTGCTTTGGGGCAGGGTCCAGGGGCCGGAGGTGTAATGCTCAGTGATGAGGGCCTCAGGTGAGACCTACACCCAGAGGGTGAGCCACGCTACAGCAGCCACCATGCAACAAGCCGGTGAATGAGATCCCTTGCAGGCACTACAACATCAGTACATACAAGCCACTCCCTCCACTTCCCGGGCAGAGGCGTGCCCTGGCCCCAGGAGTATCCCCATCCAGGCCCAGGCCCCTCACGGTGAAGTCGGTGCTGGACCCGTAGGCTAGCAGGAAGAGGTCGTCCACCGACTTATCCACCCGGATGGACAGCAACTGCGTGCCTGGTGCGTCATCGGGCCAGCGGGTGACGGTCACCACCTCCCCGTCCACCATCGCGGGGGGGAGGGTGCCGAGGGACGCGCTCAGTCACCTGCGACGACCCCGTGGCTGACCAGTGACGTTATCGCAAGCGATGGCCTACTCCTGGGTGCGATCTATGATTCAGGCAGTGAAATAAGCATACGCCTGATTTGATGGCAGTATGGGCGCCGTGTGGCCGGGCGTTTGCACTGTTTCGGGATGGTGACGATGGTCAAGTGTGGTTGCTTGGGATCAGGGCGCGAAAGGTGCACCGACATGCGCAGTGAAACATGCGCCTCCTGTCCCCTGCAGTGCTCTGTATGCACGGGCTTATTTGCGATAATATGCGGCATTGCCAGCATCCCGGCATGGGGCCGTGCAGAGGCAAGGGTGCCTGTGAGGTTGGTGTGTGACACGCCTCCTTGCGAGACCCACGAGACCCGGCGCCCATGGCGCTCGCCATGGGCGGCCTGCTGCGTGCAGTGCTGCTGGGCCAGGTGCTCGCGCTTCTCATTGCATGCACCGCCCTCTGCTCCGTCCTGCTCGTGCGACAGGTGATAACTGGGCCAGGGGGAAGCATGAGGGGAGTACCCAGCCGGCATTCACTCACCCCCCATACTTGAGCACTGAAGCACTGATGGGGGACCCCACAGCACAGCCGCACAAGGTCTCGGATGCATGGACCCGGCTAACTTATGACATTGAGGTTGCCCAGCTTCGGCCCCCTTCACGGCCGTGCACTGGACTTGCCCCCCCTAACCCACACAGGGCGTCTCGGCGCCAACCCTGCAGTCCTGCGCCACCTACGTGGCGCTGGCCTGCGTCTGGGGCACCGTGCGCGCCCGGCGACGGGGCGTGCGGGCGCCCTGGCGGTCCCCTCCCTGGGTCTACGCGGTGCTGGCCCTGCTGGACGTGGAGGCCAACGCCTGCCTCGTGGCCGCCTACCGCTGGACCAGCCTGACCAGCGTGCAGCTGCTGGACGCCTGGACCATCCCCGCCGTGCTCCTGCTTTCCACCGCCTGCCTGGGCGCGCGGTACGGCCGGGGCCATGTGGCGGGGGCCGCGCTGTGCGTGCTGGGCTTCTTCGCCCTGGCCGCCAGCGACGGCTGGAGGGGCGGCCTGGGGCTGGGTGCGGTGCCAGATGAGAGCGCCGGCCGGCCCGCGGCCTCCAGCCTCCAGCCCTCTCCCTCGCGGCCGCTGCTGGGCGACGGCGTGGCGGTGCTGGGCGCCACGCTGTACGCCGCCAGCAACGTGGTGCAGGAGGCGCTGCTGGGCGCGAGCGTGGACGCGGAGGAGCTGCTGGCCGGGCTGGGCGCGGCCGGGGCGCTGTGGTCCCTGGCCCAGGGTCTGGCGCTCGAGGGGCCCCTGCTCCTGCGCACGACGTGGACGCTGGGCGTGGTGGCGCCCTTTGCCGGGTTTGGGGCAGCCATGTTCGCCTTCTACTCCCTCGTGCCCCTGGCGCTCAAGGCGCGGGGCGCTGCCCTGCTCAACCTCTCACTCCTGGCCGCCGACGTCTGGACTGGCCTGGCCAGGGGATTCTTGTTGGGTGAGGGGTTGGTATTTTGGTGTGTGGTGGGGGGGGGGGGGGCGGGTGAGGCAGGGCGAAGGGAAGGGGAGCAGATTTGCTTGCACCCCGTGGCGGTGCACAAAGATGCACTCGAGGGGGACGGCCATGCCATGCACTTCCTTGTCGAGGCTGCATAAGGCGTCGGACACATCATAGGATGATCACAGCCGACAGGAATTGGGGTGCCTTGATGTTCGCTGCCTTGCTCGTCGCCCTTGCCACCCTCTGCTGGGGTATCTTGCAGTCCACTGAGATCCTCCCCTCCCCTCACATGTCACAGACGGCTTCACGGGCACCTCCCTGGCTCAGTTCCTGACATGCTTTGGCCTCATCGCGGCAGGCATCGTGCTGTTTGTCACCTGCGGGGAGGTGGAGAGCTTTGCTGTGCCCAAGGAGGCACGGGTGGCGGGGAATGGCATCTCGCTGGGGTCGCCCACCGCCCACACCGGGGGAGCAGCAGAGTTCCAGAGGTTGCCCATGGGAGCGGGAATTGGATTGCCGGACGACGAGATTCAAATTTCAGGCAGTGAGGGCGACCGCCTTTTACCCTCAAACCCTCTGGAGGTTTGAAAAAACATCAAACTGAGAATGCGTTCTGGGTCCTCCACATGATTGTGCGTGGCATCCTCCCTTCCCAGATCCTTGGCAGGCATGTATATCATGCTTGGCAGAGTGCCATTCCTTCAGGTTGACGTACCATTTTATTCTTGTAACGCACACAGATCTGCTGAAGAAGGGTTTGTATTTCTGAGCGAAGGTAGATGGAAGTCGGCCACGTCGAGAATGGGAGCTGATTACGTACATCCCCCTCTCCATGAACGCGGTACGATGGAGTTGCAAACTCACCAACGAAATGTAACCCCAACCATTCTTCAATCGCGCACGAAAGCCTTGTAATTATAGCTAGACCTCGAAATTGGGCGAAATGAGGCGTGCGACCCCCTGCATTGCCTTCCTGGCGCTGCTGCTCTTGGCAGGGCCATGCAAAGCTGACATCTTCGACACCATCGGGAACGCTCTGGGCGATGCCACCCGGACTGTCGGGAACGCGGTGGACACCGCGGCTGATGCCACCACCAACTTTGCTGGGAATGCCGTGAGCACCGTGGGAGGGGCCATAGGCGATGCAGCGAACGCTGTGGGGGGTGCCCTGTCCGACGCTGCCAACGCCACTGGAGACTTTGTGGACTCCTCGCTGGACACCGTGCGATCGGGTCTGAACACCGCGGTGGGAGCTGTCAGCGGGGCTGGAAGCGACATTCGTACATTTTTCAGCGGAGGGGAGGTGACACCGCTGTTGCCCTCCATTCAGTATGGTGAGCGATGGAGGTGCATGCCCGGGTGTGGACTACGCCGATGCCTTCCACTCTGAATTTTATTGGACAGTGTGGCTGTGATGAGGATTGGTATCTTGATGTCACGGAGCAACACCCGCATGGGCTCCATGCCACCCGATTCTAGGGTCTGGTGCCACGTTTGTAGACAGCTCATCCCAATATTCGATTCCTCTGGCATCAATCCCTCAGGCACCTCAACCCCTTCCCCCTTGAACACACCCACCCACCCACCCACACCAGGTCCCATCGTCGTGAAGACCCTGGTAGCGCTGCAGTATGCCGTGAATCTTAATGCCAGCGACTACCAGGATGAGGCTGTGCAGCTGGCCTTGGCCGAGGACGCGGTGGTAACAATCCGCCATGCCGGGCTCAACCAGGCCATCGTCGCATTCCAGGTGCGAGTGGGGTGGCTGCATGGGCACTGAATCTTGAGTGAGAGAGCGGGAGTATGTGAGGAGGGGTCATTGGTTGGGGTGCAGAATGGAGCCTGCTTTCGGTCGTTCCCTTGTGACACCATGGTTTCGCATCTGCAGGCAAGCGACGTCGTCATGGTAAGTGAGCATTAAAACTCATCAAGCTCCTGCACACAGGGCGGGAGGCTGAACAGCAATCCCCTGGACTCCTTCAACACCACCGAGGCAGTGCCCTACCTGGAGGACTGGATTGGCACCGCCGCCGCCCCCACCCTCCTCCTCGACTCCTTCAGTGACCTGCTGGACGGCGCCGGCTCCACCAACGGGACGCTGGTGGAGGTGGGGACGCTTGGATGTGGGTGATGCCGAGGCCTGCCAGGGGATCTTGGCGACTCCATGACTTTGCACAGGGATTCCTGCCCCAGGTCGTATGCAGATGGCCATGCCCATGGTACCCTTGTCCTCATCTCCACTCTCTTCGTTGTCCCCGTGGCTTTTTGTGGGCCCTGAAGCAGCCTTACCCAGACATGAAACTGCGCATCCACACCCTATGTGCCTTCTTGAACCCCTGTTCACACCCCGCCCCCCCGCACAAAGGCCGTCGAGGAGATCATGGGGTCCGAGACCCCCCTGCACATCATCGTGACGGGTCAGGCGGCGGGGGGCGGCCTGGCTGCACTGGCGGGCCCGGCCCTGGCGCTGGCCTTCCCGCGGGCCAACGTCGATGTGATCACCTTTGGCATGCCCTGGACCGGGTTCAACCCCCAGTTCTCCTGGGCCTTTGACCAGCTGGTCAGCTTGTACTACGTCTGGCCCTTTAACTCCAGCGACATCGTGCAGATCATCAACGCCACGCAGCACGACCCGCAGCAGAGTCTCTTTGATCAGGCCGCCATGGCAGGTGGGCGCCTGGTTGGGGGGGTGGAGGAAGAGGGGTTTATTGTGGGAGGGTGTGGATCACCTGGGGACTGGACGTGTTGGGGATTGGGTGAGATGGGGACCCCATCAGCTTGGGGACTGGGCCTGTTGGGGACTGGGCCTGTTAGGGCAGGGTGAGAAATTGGTCGAGCATGTGCAGAGCATGAAACAGAACATCGTCCTGGATCCACCGACTCTCATCCTCAGCCCAGAGCAGCATTTGCTTGCCAGTCCTGTGCTGCTCCGCCTCATCCCAGGCCTTCCCCTCAAACCCCTCCCAAAATCACTCAGTGAACTCCACCATCGGGCCCAACACCGTGGGCAACGCCACGCTACTCCCAAACCTGCCGCCCCCATACCCCGCCGACGCCCAGGCGGGCGCCACCGCCCCTCTGGGCGACATCGCCCCCTCGCCCACTAGCCCCGGCCCGGCCCCCTCGGCCTGCCCCCCCATCCTCTGCAAGTCGCGGGAAGGCGCGGCCGCCGCCTGCCTGCTGTGGCGCCCCAACAACGCCTCAGCCCTCCAGGTGTTTCATTGTCACAGGCATGCCCTCACCTGCATGCACAGCCACACTCGCAATCATCAGCCTTGCCATCCATCCCTCACACCCATCCATCTCCACCCTGTGCAGGGCCTGCCCCGGCGCTACCTGCAGAGCGGCGGCACCGGCGCCTCGGCCGCCGTGGCCTGGGACGCCGCCAGCGAGACCGCCTACATAGTGTTTGAGGGCACCGACACCGAGGCAGACTGGGTGCAGGACCTGCTGGTCTCCCAGTCCTCTGACTTTCGCCCCACCGGCGCCGACGTGTTTGACGGCGTGGGCGTGCACCAAGGCTTCCTGAACCAGTTCGAGAGCCTGACCGACGCCGCGCCCAGCGCCGAGGAGAACATCACCGCCGTGGTCCTGGATCTGAGCGGCGGCCTGATTCCGCGCAGGGTTGTCGCCGCAGGTGAGGAGAGTTCTTTGTTTTCGGGGGGGGGCGGGGGGTCCCAATCGAAGGAGCAAGAAGGGGCAGAGCTGTGTGGCCGTGCCTTGCTTCGGCCCGCTGCCTGGGCCAGTGCAATTGCAGGCAGCCCTACAGCGTCGTGGCAGGAGCAGGCAGGGGCGCGGGCACGCCTCAAAACTCCCTCTCCCTCGACCACCATGCCCTGGACTGACTTGCACACTTGATAACCAGATCCCTTCCCCCCCTCTTTCCTACCGCACAGGGCACAGCCTGGGGTCGGGCCTGGCTTCGCTCACTGGCGTTTGGGCCAGTGCGCTCTGGCCCAACGCCTCTGTCAGCGTGGTCGGCACCGGCACGCCCATGGTCGGCAATGGGGAGTGGGTGCGTGAATTCAGGGCCATCGTGGGGCGTGCCAACAGGTTTGTGTACGAGATTGACCAGGTAAG